AACCACTTGGGAATCAGGCCACAGGGCAAAGCTTAAGCCAGCGGTTCTGGGGCCTGCCATATGCTCTGTGTTTCCACCAGAATCCTCAGGTTGCTCCTCAGAGAGCCCCAACTTCATGTGAAAGGCAGTGTCTGCGCTGGCTTGGCTAAACTCACCAGCGATTATAACAGGACGGCCGTTACAGGGTGGCAGAACCACACAAGTAGAGGCCAGAAGATATCAGAGCTATACACTGAGCAGAAGCTTGACTTTTTATCTGCAAGAGCAGCCCAGCCAGAAGGAGCGTGTGGGCCCCTCAGGTCAAGGAACAGATGAGAAGCACATCCCATCCGTCTTCTGTTCTTGTCCTAAAGCTCCGATTTTAGTGATCAGATTCTGCAGTCAAGAAGCTGGCCTCATCTCTTCCTCCTCACCACCAGGACTCCTGCCTGGGGGATGAAGAATCTGTGGGAGATCCCAACGGTGGCTAAGGAGAATAATACATTTTCTACTTTTCGCCATTTTATCTTATAGTTTATTTCCTTATTTGCAGTCCAAGGCGAGTGCTCAGCCCCTGAGCTAACTCTCCAGTCCTATTTTTCACCATTTGCAACATTCCATGCATCAGAGAAGATTTCAAAATAAAATGGTATATTTTTTTTTGCTTTTTGGGTCACACCTGGCAATGCACAGGGCTTCCTCCTGGCTCTGCACTCAGGTGTTACTCCTGGCGGTGCTCAGGGGACCATATGGGATGCTCAGAATTGAACCCAGGTTGGCCTCGTGCAAGGAAAGCGCCTTACCCGCTGTGCTATCTCTCCAGCCCCCTCAAAACAAAATGCTTTTAAAAATTTACATTCAAGAAATAATATTCCGATCTGATGATTCCTTTTGTTTGTTTTTCTGCCTTGGCACAGCTCGAGAAAGTGTAGGGATTTTATTTCTCCCTACTGAAAATATTGGCATCTGCCCTCCGAGTTTGACTTCCATTCAAGTGCCTCCTCTCCAAACTCTATCTTCTAAGCTCCCTAGGCGATAATGTCACTTGGTCATCCAGAATATGGAATCTCCCTCTTCTAGGGGAAGAAACTCATCAAGAATGTCCTTTCCTGGGGCTGAAGTGATAGAACAGTGGATAGGATGTTTGTCTTGCACGTGGCCAACCTGGTTCAATACCCAGCATCCCATATGGTCCTGCAAGCACCGCCAGGAGTAATTTCTGAGTACAGAGCCTGGAGTAACCCCAGAGCATCGCTGAGTATGACCCAAAAGTAAAAAACAGAACAAAACAAAAAACCAGAATGCCCTTTCCTACAGCCTCTAGACACAGCTGTCCCCATCGCTCCAACCCCACCTCACACCCAAAATAATGGCTTCACTTCATTAACAAAGCAGATCGTCTTTTAATATTAACCTCCTTGCAGGTCCCATCCTATCTTCTAAAATAAACAATCCTCATGCAACACTGGTATTGAACACAGTCTCCTCCCTGTTGACATGGGACCAATGTAAAGTAGGTACAGATTGGAGATTCAGTATCTGCCCCAAGAGGGTTGGAGGGAGAGATTTACTAGACCAACCTAGAAGTCAAAGTCAGCAGTTTCATAACAATGAATAAACTTATTTCAGAGTGCGGGGGAGGACAAATACACAGTATTCTTCCAGATAAGCAAATCATCAGAATAAGCAGAAAAATCCAGCCTCTATTTGTCTAAGAGTCTCAAGCTACTAAGGGATTTCCTGTGAGGTTTCCAGTCCAAACCCAGGCTCTGGACTCGCGTGTCCAAGACTCTAATCTGTCCCTACCATACACAGGTCATAATCTGGGACCCCAGGGTCCTTGTGGTTGAAGGTGAATTGCAAAGCACCCACCTCCAGGACTTGGTGGTACATTAAATGCCATGACTAGCCCAAGCTCCTAGCCAGGCCCTGGAAACTAGGAAACATTCATTACGCATTAGAGTTCTAATCCTTCCTCTGGAGAAAGGCAGGAATTATGTCCAGAGGCAGATGAATGACCGCGTTCCCTAACATTAGCCAGTCAATAGGACAGGGGCAAAGCAGAGGAAGAAGGAAGAAGTGAGCAGTCCTCATAGTTAAGTTTCCCCAGCATGGACGAAACTCAAAAAAAAATGTGTCCCAAATGCCATTCAGTTGCATTTCTGCAACGACTGCACCCTGATAAATGCTCCACAAAAATTGATTCTGCTTAAATACTAACTGCTTCTTAATTTCCATAGAGAAGAGAGAAAGATGCGAGTGGTGAGTGGGGCTTGAGAGGAGAAATGCCAAGCCTCTTTTCTTCTGCAGTTTGAGGGAGAAGTAGTCATTCTGGTGGTGGTTTGGAAAAGAGACTTGCTGGGGAAGCAGATCTGGTCACCAAAAAATAAATCAGGAAGTAGCAAAGAGCTGAGGAATTGGCTCAGGGGCCAGGGATGTGGGCCTGATTTGTGGAAGAACCCAAGTTTGATCTCTGGAATAGAAAGTCCCCGAGCACCAAAAGGCTGAGTACTGAAGGGTAGAGAGCTAAGTATGCAGGGAGTGAATCCCCTAACCAGGCCTTCTGAGCCCTGCTTCGGAGCCCCCCCACACAGCTAAAAAACCAACAAACATGGGGTTAGAGACGTGCTTGTACCATAAGTAAGACACGGGGCAATTGCTGAGCTGTGTACTGACCAGGGAAACGTGTAGTACATTCCATAACAATGCCCTTTGCACCACTCCAGAGCCCCCTACCCCCTCAGGCTGCCACAAGGCTCCTTCAGAGGACCCCCAACCTTATCTGCTTCCTCAGCCTTTCAACTTCTGTGTTAGTGACTTCTGTCCTCTGGGTGAAACAAGTGAGCTGCCAACCATTTTAGAGATGGAAAAGAAGAATAAGAATGCTCACGGGGTGGTAATGATAAGAATAATGGCTCAGGGACTGGTAGGCTTGAGGCCCTGGGTTCCATCGCCAGCACCAAACAAATTACTACTACTACTACTACTACTAATAATAATAATAATAATAATAATGATAATAATGGCACTGTAGCACTGTCCTCCTGTTGTTCATCAATTTGCTCCAGTGGGCACCAGTAACATTTCCATTGTGATCCATTGTTACTGTTTTTGGCATATTGAACATGCCACGGGGAGCTTGCCAGGCTCTGCCCTGAGGGTGGGATACTCTCGGTAGCTTACCAGGCTCTCCAATAGGGACGGAGGAATAGAACCCAGGTCAGCCACGTGTAAGGCAAATGCCCTACCTGCTGTGCTATTGCTCCAGCCCAATAATAATAATAAGTACACCCTCATGCTAAATAACTCCTAATACACAGACTCTGTAAGTACATTTCTTTTCCAGACTCCAGATCCAGTGTTCAGACCCATGGCATCCCATTGGTATCGGAACTCCAAGACTACCCAGGCTACCACTGGCTCCATCCATACTCTAAGCCACATCTAAGCCACATCCTCCAGGCCACAGCTGACCTTGAAGGGTGACCTCCCTCTGCCCATGCCAGGTTCTCCTTGGGGCTCTCCTGGCACTTCTGCCAACTAGCATGTCCCTGGGAGGAGCCTGTGAGACCAAAATGCTCCAGGGTAATCAGCTCCCCAGCCTCCTTCACAGAACCACGACCGGAACCAGGTCCGGAAGAGGCTGTGGGGTGACCGTCCCTGTTTGTTTTTTCATTCCTGAGCTGGCAAAGACGGGGGCTGCAGCTTTACAATTAGAACCAGCATGCTTCTTCAAATATTAATATTAATAACGACAAGGAGCAACACATGAAAAGGCCTTTTCATCTTCAAAGCACTTCACAGACTGGAACTCATGGGGGGTCCTTTTCCTCCATTCAGGAGCCAACAGGTAAGGAAGCCCCTCCCCAGGAGCAAGGGTCCTCCCCCCCCCCAGTGCCCCCTCCCCGACCCCCGCTGGGCTTAGAACCCCTGGAGGAGTCCATGAGTTGGCTCCTGAGGTTCAAACGAGGAGAGGAAAAGGAGAGTAGCAGTTTGGGGCAGTGCCACCCTGCTGTCCACAGACTCTCAGCATTTTAGCATCATGTGTCCTAAACAAGGAAAGGACATCTTGCTAGTCACTGCCCAGAAATTGCTTGAATGGGAAGGAGAAATGGCCTTGAAGTTGTAAAAAATAAACAACACTTCTCCAAAAGGTTGATAAGCAAAGCCTGCAAGTCACGCAGTAACTTTGCCAAGAGTTTTCTGCTTAACCGGCACTCACAGACAACTAACTGCATGGGGCTGGGAAGTCTCATAGTTGAAGTATGGGGCTCAACTCTCCCTCCTGCCCCCTCCCCGGCAAGGATCCGGCTTTTCCGTACTGGAAAAGCTGCTGAGGTCCTGGTCTGCAGAGGAAGGGGGACAGGGCCCCCTGATTGTGGGATTTCTCTCTTCCCTTGGCTCTACTGCAGTCCCAAAGGCTAGAGAACCCCAAACCCCAAGGCAGGGAGAGACACATACAAGGTGACCTGGGCTGGCCAGAATGAGCCCAAAATGAGTCCAAAGTGTGCTCTCTGGAAAGCAAGTGCTTTGAGTTGCTAGGCAAACAAGAAAAGCAAAGCCAGACATTTAAGAAAAAGAAAGAAAAGAAGTAAAATCAGAGCCTCCCTAGAGGTGACAGACAGAAAAGGGCAAACCCCCTGTGGCGAAAGACTCTCTCTGTCTTTGGAAAGGCTCCGGTGTGGGTTGAAAACGTGAGATCCCTTCCAAGCCATCTGAAGGAGTCTCCATCCAGCGTGGCTTAGCGTCTCCAAATCAAAGCGAAGGGAGAGCCCCCGTCTTGGAGTCAGACCCCGTGAGCGCCTAGCACCTCACTTTTGCACTGTGGGTTAGCGGATGAATGGAAAACGGGGGATGCAGAGAAACAGAAACCTCATTTGTCTCCCGAAAGTGCCCCACGATCTACTCCAACCTCCCAGGATCTTTGTAAAGGAAAAGAAAAAAAAAAGACAAGGGAAGGAAAGAAAAATGAACTGCAGAGTTTCAGGCAGAAGCTCCAGCTTTACTTCTGCGTCACTTACGGCTCTGCCGGAGCGTCGGTCCTGCGGGAACTGTGGTCTCTTTCCAACTACCTGCAGGAATCCTCTGCTGGGTGGCTAAAGAGGATGCAGGGACCATAATGTTCCTAATAGCACGGCCTCCTTAAATTGGGAGGTGTGGTTAAGTCTGGGAAGGCTGGAAACAGGATGGGCTGCACCCGCCCCAACTACAGGGCTGCAAGCTCTGTGATCCACATGGCAAGTGAATCGTGCTGTTCCCAGAGGTGACGCCGAACCATGCCCACAACCCCATCCTTCAATTCAACATCTCTCGGCAAGCCCCATTGTTTTTTGAGCCACAGCTGGTGCTCAGGACTGCTCCTGGCTTTATGTTCAGAGGTCACTTCCAGAGGTTCTCAGGGCCCCTTATGGGGTGCTGGGAATGGGAGTGCCAGGGAAGAGCCTTAACCCTGTCCTGTCTCCCCAGCTTTTCTAGGTGGGAATTCTTTTATTCGTATATTAGAAAACCTACTAAGAATGGACAATACAGTTGTGATTTCTAGGCACAGTGTTATTTTTATTACAGAAAACTTTGGGGGTGTGGAGAATTCAGTAATTACTTCTAAATGATCCCATTTTCTTTGAGTCATGAATATGAGTTAGAATTTGCCATGATATGCTCATTTTCCTTCTAATGAAAACACAAGTGATCAACATGGGAAGTCTTTGACAGTAATGCCAGAGTGACAAGCTCATTATCCATCATTGCATGAAGCTAGCCATGGAGTGAAGATGGTGCCATAATTAAAACAAGACTGTAGGGCTTCCCTTGGCCTTTGCACATTCACTTGGCTTGAAAGAAAGGAAGAGAACTTGCTAATGGTCCCATTTCCTTTCACTGGATGCCTGTGTCAGCCAGAGAACAGGACTGTAATAAACTGCATTGTAACAAAGACAGACACATCTACCAACCATCTCAGTCGGGTGTATTACCCTTTATTTGGGAAACTAAGAAAGGGAACCACAGAAATTTAGAGATTAAAGTTAAATTAAACCCTCTTTAATTCAAGACCATGCTCAGTGCTACCAATCACAATTACAACTGGATGATCTAAAAAACAATAGATAGATTAGTTGGATTCTTACCATAATATTACTGTCCTTAGCACTGTCCTCCCGTTGCTCATCGATTTGCTCAAGCGGGCCCAGTAAGTCTCCATTGTGAGACTTGTTGTTATTGTGTTTGGCATATCGAATACATCACGGGGAGCTTGCCAGGCGAGATACTCTTGATAGCTTGCTGGGCTCTCCAAGAGGGGCAGACGAATCGAATCTGGGTCAGCCACACCGGTCACATGCAAGGCAAACGCCCTACTGCTGTACATAGAGTATAAATATTGGGGAACTCTGGAGTCTGGGTTAGTCTACACAGAGCTTATATAGGCAACCATTTCCAGCCTTAGCTCCATCTTTTTCCCTCCATCTTTATCCTTTGTCTTGAAGAGCCGAGACAAGAAATCTGATGTTGTAAAGTGAACCATCACTGCTGCAAATTATCTAGCAAATCATCACTCACCCTTTAAAACAGCACATTTTCACCCACCTACATTTTTTTTAAAATTGCGTTTAATGTTTATCTGTGTGCAAAAAAAAAAGTGACAATGAACCCTTGCTGTGCTTTGGATTCAAGAACTGATGGATCAAAAACTGAACAAAAGAAATAAAACTATGAAGTTCTTAAAGGAAAACATAGAAGGGTGACTTAGGACATTGGAGCTGGCAGTAATCTTGGATAATACAACAAAATTTTGCACAGGGAATAAATGAAATAAGATATAAATTCATCAGAGATGAATCTATAAGATAGACAAAAACCTTTCAATGTTTGTACTCCAAAGGATATGATTAATAAAGTGGAATGGTAACTCACAGAATGGAGAAAATATTTGCAAATATCCAGTAGGAGATTAATGTGCAAAATGTGTTAAAACACACACACATACACACATACACACACACACACAACTCAAGGAATAAACCCAACCATCTCAATTAGTACATGGGTCAAAAGACTTGAGTAGACAATTGTCCCTAGGTATGAAAAGAGTCAATAAACACATGAATTGATAGTCAACATCAGTAGCCATTGGGGAAATGCAAATTCAAGACACAATAAAATAGTACTTGACACCTTTCGGATGACTATTATCCCAAACAAAGCAAAACCAATCAAAACAGAATGAAACAAGGGTCTCTGAGCCCACAGAGCTGTCAGAACTCATTCAGGTAGCTGATCAGAAGGCAAAAGGGTAAGGCTTGAATATGGTGGTGCCTGGTAGAATTCAACAGAATCGCCTGTGATTCAGAATGTCACTCTTGAATATTCAACCCCCGAAAGTTAAATTTGGAACTCAAATTGGCCTTTGCATACCACACATTATTCACAAAGGCCAAGACATAGAATTGACTGAAGTATCCACACATCAAATAGGATGAGTGAAAAAAAATGGGAGCTATTCAGAGTCATCAAAAGAAATTGATAGTCTCAGAGTGTTAGCCTCGCATGTGGTTGACCCAGGTTCAATCCCTGGCATCCCATATGGTTTCTTCATCCCCAACCCCACCCCACCCGTACCCTCAGCCCACCAGGAGTAATCCCTGAGTACTGAGCCAGGAGTAAATCCTGAGCACAGCTGGGTATGCCCCCCCCCAACCAAACAACCACCACAAAACAGAAGAGGAACCGATTCTGATACAAATTACACATGGATGTGCCCTGAGGATCATTTTTTAAATGAAAAGTGGGGTGACAAAGGACAAATACTGTCAGACGGCACTTGCTTGATGTTCTTCACCAGGGGAAAATTCACAGGGATGAAAAACATACTGGAAGTTCCCAGAGTGGGGGTTTGGGATGGATGGCCAGGAGCAAGGGATTTATTTGTATTTCAGTACAAGATGATGAAATAGTTGTGCAGCTGGATCAGGTGATGATTGCTTGATGCTTCTAAAGCATACACTGACGGAGTTAAAATGGATTGTCTGTGATTTCTTTAATTTGTCACCATTTAAAAAAGAAAGATGGAATGCCATATATTGATAGCAGGGTTAATTCGATCACATTTGACCCCAGAATATAGGAAGGAGAAGGACAGAGGGAAAGAAATCATGAGGTTAGCTAGAAAAATAGAAAAAAAACAGGGGTGCAGGGGCAAGGGCCTCGGGTACATTGGTGGTATAGAGAAGTAGTATTGTTATATATTGAAACCATAGTCAACAAAACACTGAAAGCCAGAGATCCAAGCCACAATAACCAAACTTTAAAATGTCCCTGTCGAGGAGGCAGGCTGGGAGTGGAAGGAACCTGGGGACACTGACAGGTGGGGGCAGATGACACTGGGGGTGATGCTGGGACATAGTTTGCCTAAAACTCAACTATAAATAACTTTGTAAATCACAATGTCCTGATTAAAATATAAAATGTCCTTTAAAAGACCCCAAAGAAGACTTTCTGACCCACAGCCCTGGTGCTCAGGAAGAACAAGTCCCTCCAGAGGAGAGAACATGGCCCTACATCTAGGAGGACTGGCTCTGTCAGGGGGGACGACCACACCAACGGCCTCGCTGTCCCAGCCAACACTGAAAACCCATCCTGGAGCCCGGCCTTTCCCAAGCTGGGTCAGAAGCAACCCTTTAGGCAGGACTTCAGTTGAAATGACCAAAACTTAAAAGTATTCTAAGTTCCTTAAACAGCAGTGAGAGCCTGGTGGCTCAGGGCACCAGGGCACGGAGCCTTGCCCCCAGGGGAAGGCGTTCGTTCCTCTGAGGAAACGTCTCCACAGCTCAGACACCACAGTGGTAGTTTCTGTTTCCATTAGATGAAGTCAGAAAGGGTCTTTAATTTCTAGGATAATCTCCAAGCTACCTGCAGTTCTCCCTGTGGAGATAAACTTTTGTCCCTTTTTCAGAATAACAAGTATATGCAAGGCCTACATCCTATGAGGAAAGACAGAGAGGAGGGACCCCTAAAATCTCAGTGGAGAAGGGTTGTGCTAACCACTTTCCCTCACTCCCATCCCTAACCCCCACCAAAATGCATGACTCACCTTCACAGCCACCTCTCAGAATCCTTAGCCGAGGGTCAGCTCACAGACTTCTCTGAGAACTGACGCATGACGTTTGATGAGCTACACAGCGAAATATTGACGGTTTCCAGCACGTCACCTCTCAAGTCTTCTTCCCTTCCCTCTCACTTCCAACAAGCATCTGGAGGTTCCAGGGGTGCAGGTCAGCGGGATCTAACCAAATTATCAGAACTGAGCAGGGCACTATCCAGACACCCTTCCCCAGGGCTGTCCTCACCAAATACATAAGAAGCCCCAGATAAGATGAAAGGGAAGCAGAGAGTGGAGAACCTTTGCCGATCGTGCTCGAGTCTGGAACTTCTTATCCTGTGCTTTGTAATGAGGGGCTTGCCCGACCGTGATCCAAAGCCAAGCCTTTGTCTTCAGCCGCAGATGATTAGCAGTGTCACACGTGCGTGTGTGTACACATCTGGCTCCCAGGTGCGGGTCCCTGAGTGTGCCAGCAGCTCCACAATTTAGCCAGAGTTCTTGGCATGGTCCCACCAGGACCCCTGGGTGTTGCTCCCTTCTTGCTTGTATTAAAATCTTCAGTTGCCCCCTTTCTAGGCTGTAAAGTAAAGTAAGTAAAGTAAAGGCCCTCCCGTTGATCATCAATTTGCTCGAGCGGGCCCAGTAACGTCTCCATTGGAGACTTTGTTGTTACTGTGTCTGGCATATCGAATACTCTCGGTAGCTTGCCGGGCTCTCCGAGAGGGGCGGAGGAATCGAACTCGGGTCGGCCATGTTGGCTGTGTGCAAGGCAGACGCCCTACCCGCTGTGCTATCGCTCCAGCCCATTGTAAATCGCTCCAGGTTGTAAAGGGGGATGGAACTGGTGGTCTTGGTAGATATCCCCAAAGGTAGCTTCCAGAAAGAGGAAATGATAATTAAAAAAAAAACATACTTCTCCCTCCATGTTCTTTGGGGGTTGCTGCATATTCCCGGGGTTCCATAAATTAACACATGGGTTTTGAAAAATAATATACATACATATATATATTTAAATTTTAGACACCATAATTTACAATGC